TACTAAATGATGAAAATATTTATATAAGACAGAGTTGGAAGTTGGCTAAAGAACAAAGTAGAGCCCCGCAGGGAAGGTAGTGCTGCAAAACCCAAAATTCAGCATAGTCCAGACATTCTGAGCAGTTTGGCAAGATGCACATTGCCTTCCCATTGTCTTTTACACTCCTCTGCTTCATCTTCAAATCTCAAATGTCCAAAGTTGCTCTTTCCAACGAAGTAACCAAATGCTCCAAACTGCAAATCAGGAGTGCAGAGGTCTTCATTTCAGTCAGCAAAGGAATCAATGGACAATGGCATTATTAATCAATTACAGACATATATATATATATATATATATATTAAGCTAGCTTTCATGTGCCAACAAAAATCTTCAATTCCATTAAAACTCAGAACTCATTTTTGAGTTCAGGCACTTGGAAACATGCCTCCATCATGAAGGCATAAGCTTTGGCTTTGTTCTCTGAAGTAGGGGAGTTCTGTCCCTACACTGCTTGGAAACGTCCAATAACCATTGCTTTACAAGCTGTCCATTTACCTGAGGCTGCAGCACCATTAGAATTTTTAAAATTGTTGCTTGGATGGCAATTCTCTGGACCAGAGTTAAAAGGCAAGCTTTGGAAATATGTCCTTCCTAGGGCTATTTTGCCACCAACTACACCATCCACAAAAAGAGAGTTAAGGAAAGCATGAAATAAAGTTAAGTGCCTAAATAACAGAGATGGCCATGAAGTTACTGATGCCAGCATATTTTATGTTTTCACTCCAATGAGATTTTTTCTGTGGTTAGGTTTAAGTTCTAAACACATTTCCAGGGTATCTGCAGGCACCAGAGTGGAGTGGGCTGTGTATTATAAACCCTTATCATAACCATGCACTAAGCTCAAGGCAACTGATTTTTCAGTGCTCATTGTTAACTCATCCTCTTTTCTTCTTCATATTCCAAAACCAGATCCAATTGTTCTGTGTGACTTCCACATCCACACTGAGGTTGGCTCTTCAGAGTTTGAAAGACATCTGGAAGTTCCAGCTATTACAGAATGTGGTGGCCCACCGTCTAACAGGGTGGATCACTGGGAGCACATAACTCCAGTGCCAGAGTCTGCACTGGCTCAATGGCTTTCTGGGAGCAATCCAAGGTCTTGGTATCAAACCATATAGCCTTACAGCCTGAGCACTATATACCAGGGGTGGGGGGTGGGACTGCCTTGCCCCTTATGCCCCATTGCAATCCCCAAGAGCAACCTGCAAGTATCATCAATGCACCAAGTTTGCTTGGAAAAAGCACATTGGAGGTCATTTTTGATACTCATGCCTTAGCTCTAGTACTCTCCCCTTTGAGACCCACTAAACCTGAGCCTAGACATTTATTGGAAGCACTGTAAGACCTTCCTTCTTGGGCAGGCATTTATCAGGCAAGGCTTAGCTGGGATACTATTTTGGTGTTTTTTCCTACATAGTGGGCACATCTACATGAGACACTAACAGTGCAGTAACCTAATAATACTGCACAGTAGCGCATCACAGAACAAACAGTGCTAATACACTACTGCATAGTATTAATAGGCTATTGTGCAGTCATGTCACTTAAAAGGCATTCACCAGTGCTACTACACAGTAACTCCAGTTACTGTGCATTTATTTCGTACTTGATTTGTTTTAGTACTTGATTTAGTACCCAGTTTGTTTTAATCAACTACTGGCTTTGATATATTACTTTGTTTCTCCTGTTTTGTTCTCTTCACTTGTTTTAGAAAAGAGCAAAATAACTTATACATGCTTCCTTGAGCTTTGTATATATATTTGGGGGGGGGGGGGGAGTGCAGCATATAAATCTAATAAATAAATAAATAGCCCTAGATATTTGCAAAATGACTTTCACTACTCTCACATGGACCAGCAGAGGTCACCATACACCTCATTAAGAGCATAGGCTTTGAGACTAAAGTCTAAGGCACCACAGAAGACAGTTAGGTGCAAATGCAGATATATAAAAATATGCAAATGAAAGGGAGTGACAAGTAGTGCTTGATGGAGACATGCATAAGTGCCTAGGATTCTTTCACACGTCTTTGAAGGGCTTTTCAGTCCTAACCTATAACTCATTGTCCTTCTAGTCCTTGTTTCCACAGCCTCTGCTACTGAACCCCTTATCTTCACATGCAGCCCACCGCTATGGTGTCCCACTTCTTTGCCTGTTGAACTAGAAACTGACACTAATGTCAAGTTGTGCGACTGTTGTCATGAAGAGGGCTAGAATGAATCCATTATACTCACTTCCACTTGTGACTTAAAGCAAGATTTAGTTCTTTAACCATATAGCTGGGTAAGCTGCCATGAATACAGTTCACACAAAATATGCATTTGCCTCTTAGAAAACCAGGACTCTGGTAGCAAGCCAGAAGCCAGCAGCAAAGCACGGAAGGAGAGGACAGCTTTCACCAAGGAGCAGCTGCGGGAATTAGAAGCAGAATTTGCTCACCATAACTATTTGACAAGGCTCAGGAGATATGAGATAGCAGTGAACCTGGACCTCACTGAGAGACAGGTACTTCCTGAATCCCTGCCTCTTCAACTGTGATTTTACAGAGTTATGTCTGCCTACACAAGAAGGTGAATCATATATATCCATGTGACACCAATTTCTACCTTTGCAAGTGTGCATAAATATATGCACATACCCTAAAAATGTTGTAACATATATGGCAACTGTATTTTAACTATGACATAACCAAGAAACTCATTTTTGGTATTTGGTTAACTTCGTTTATTTTCATGTAAGCTGCAGAAAACGTATTAATAGATGACTAGCACCCAGAGCCTTGACACATCTTAATTATTTCTCAACATTCACTGGCACACACCAACAGGCTCATAACTGAAGGAGGATCTGGTGATACTTTTCAGACTTTGATGAGCATGACTGAGCTGAAACAATCCTCTGAAGTTCCCAAATCCTGTAGAATCCCAGGAAGCTTCCTGGCTCAGTAATAATGGGCACGGGCATGAGAGGGCATTAGATTCTTATTTGACAAGGTGTCCTCCTTATGGCTAGGGACAGAAATTACACAGAAACTGGTGTAAGTGATAGGAAACTGGTTCAAATCTGTAACACAACATAAGTTCAGGGCACATAAACCACTTTCAAAATGGCTGAAAGTGGTTTAAGATAAAACTGGATGTATATAATGGATATATATCAGACTTAACAGATTTAGGTTAATTAGTTTATTGAACTTCTGTCCCAGATCCCCTCCAGAATCAAGTTAACTTACAGTCCCCCAGCATCCCAGGATGCTTTGCACATCCCCCACAAAACCCTACTCTCACAGGGTGGGTGGGCTAGCGTTGGCCCAAGCTGTCTGCTCCAGCTGAGCAGGGAGGCATGCTCTAGCACCACCCGGCTTTTGGTCTGGGCCACTGCAGGCATGTGGCTGCATTTCTGGAATAAAAAATGAATGTCTGTTCACTTGTTTAGTGGTTCAATCGACACAGCTTAGACTAACCTGAAGAGATTGAATTGATGCAGCCTCGGGCTTTTGACTGTCTGTACTTAGCCTATAGGTTAGAAAGATGTTGAGCAATCACTTGAGAGGATAAGAGTGTAGAGAATTAAGGAGGTCAGCATGCTTTCATCCTTATGGTGTGCTCTTAACAAGGGGCCTTACATCAGAGCTTAATATATGTCCAATAAAGGAATCAATCAAGTGAAGAAAAAGAATTATAGAACTTTAAAGAATTGATTTTGTTGGAATGAGACACCTAAACACCTATAAAAATCTGGCCTTTTGTGCTTAGCCGATGCAGAGAAAGGCCCATTAGAAATATGATGCCCAGACAGATATAGAGGTAAGGGAACTGATCATCAATTCTTTCCCTTTCTAATTCAGGTTAAAGTGTGGTTTCAAAACCGAAGAATGAAGTGGAAGCGTGTTAAAGGTGGGCAGCCAGTGTCCCCACATGAGCATGACCCAGAAGACATGGACTCTGCTGCCTCCCCAAGCTCTGAGTAGTCCCTCTGCAGCAGTAGTCCACTGACTATGGGAAGGACTATTGATCAGAACATTGATGCCATACAGTTCAGAAGCAGCTGCATGTTCAGACACCCCTCCTTGTCCTCTTGCCGTTCTAAGGACTGTCATGTCTCGCCACTCAGAGGTGACTGTGCAAGGCCCAGGGGAGTGATAAGAGAAAGGTCTGGCTTTGATTTTTGTCTGAATGAACCAAGATGTCCAGCACTGTCTGAACAATGCCAGTGTATATACAATGCTAACTAAAACCACTGAATATGAAGTAGAAATAAGGCTGCCTAAAGCTGGCTTTCTAAGAACGTGGCTGTAAACCCTCAGAAAATGCATGTTTCAAGGCAGCATTTTAAGATCAAGCAAACTAGTTATACAGCTTCCCATTTTATAATCTTTAAAAAAAGTGTAGCCCCAACTTATATACAGGCCTGTGCCTGCTATTTGTGGAAGAGATCATGTCCAGAAAGACATGGATTTCCATTAGAGAGCTAAGATGACAGGTACTTTGCTAATTCCAAAAGTTTGTTTAATTACTCTTACTGGATACCGTTAAAGTTCCTTGAGCATGTCAAGAATCATCACTCTTCTGGACCAGAAGGTGAACTGTGTTTTGGTATATCTTCTAAAAGAAAGCTGTTCCTTTCTGTTGTGTTACTCATAGTTGCCTGTGGACCTCCTCTCGGTATTTACCTCTGTGTCCTTGGTTAGAGCTCAGGACTGTTTGGGCAAACAGGAACAGTGTCCTGTGAAATGACTTAGTTGAATTAATTTGTTTTATTTTCTTGTTTCTTTTCCTTTTTGGTGAAAGAACTTTCTTCAAATAAGCATGCGTGTGTGTCTGTGTGTGTGAATTATGTATAAATGTGTGTCCATAATGCTGTGTGTTGTGTGGATAAATATTTACTATATATGCATTCCTTCTCAATAGCTGAGCTGATCAAATTAGTGATTCATTATCTGAACAATTTAGTCATTTTTTCTACCTGGAAACTTTCTGTGAAGAGCTTGATTTTTGTGAATTGATTCGCCATTTGCAGCTGTTTGGATAGCTGATGCAAACAGATTTTTGCCTATGAATTGTTTGCATACTGTTCATTTTTAACTGTTTGTAGTTTGTGATTGGCTGTCCATGCCACATGAAATTGGTTTTTGATCCCCTGATGGGATGACAGACTTTTTAAAAAAGGAGACTAGTGAACAGTAAATGAAGGAAAGGAGGCATTTAATAACTAATTCTCTTATGTGTGTACATCCATTTCAGTGTTGAAATATAGGTGCTAGTGTGAAGAGCAACACTTCAAAACATCAGTGTAACAAAACACAGACACACACAGGTGGGGGCATCATTATCATCAGTCATTCTCATATCATGGGACTGCCACGAACGATAACTAGGGCTGTTTAGCTCAGTGGAGGCAATACATTATCTAGGAGATTTCTGCAAGATCTTTTGATAGAAGGTGAAAGAGCGACAACAGAAAGGAATTGTGCCAACTTACAAAAGTGCATTTGCACCTTGGGGAGACTAATGTATGAAGCTATCCTAAGATAAAAAAAGAAGTGTATACAGGCAAATTAGTTCTACCACAGGATAAACTGGCCAAGGTCAACCTTTACCCACAAGTTGACCTCATGGTAAACCCTTGCCAGCTAAGAGTTTTAACTTGAGACTTCTCATGTAGATTAGTTACCCCAAGATTTAAAAAAAAAAAAAAAAGTTTTGTAGCAGTCCAGGAAATCTAAGTCTTGTAAACAGAAACAGTAAGGACTTAGTTTGTGTGAGGCATGGGCGACTAATGCCTCCTGAGTCACGGGGGGCACTTACCCCCCCGCCCCCAACTGGACAGTCAGCAACCTAGAGGGGTCCCCCAGCAGCCAATCCCACAGGCTGGGGGGGTCCCCCCCACAGCCAATCCTGCCTACCCGCAACTGGCAGTGGTGTGCCGCTGGCACTTCTGGGACACTGGGACAGGGGGTACACCAGCGTTCTCAGGGCATGTACGTGAACCCCCTACGCATTGCCGCTGGTGTGAGTTATAAGGTATCTGATGCAAGAGTTTTTGCAAATGTGCGCTATGGATACTAGTGTGATTCAAAACTGTGCAGTTCTGTTCTTCCCTTTAGCACAGGCTGGAGGCATTTCTCAGTGTTTGGTTATCTCTTCATTTGGGAGAGATAAATTGGCATTTTACCAAACCCTTTAAGTGAATCCCTAATACTGGGACACTGGTGCTCTTTTTTGTATTTAAATAAATAAGAAAATTGCCAGTACATCATTTTGATTTTATCTCAGGATCTTTAAAAGACCCTGGCAGCCCCAGATGTTTCAACAATGTTACCTGAAATTGGCCTCTTTTCTCAAAAGTTTGTTTTATATCAAATTACTGTATGAATAGTTTTAGGGAAAAATAGTGATAGCTTCCATAAAATCTAATTCCTTTTGTCTCTTTATTTTGTATTTTCTAATGTAATATTTCCATATCATAACAAAACATCACTCTTAACGTTCTGAAAACTATATATGAAATGTTGACTTTTAAAGTACTGAAGATCATATATAAACATTTCAAGCTATTTGCTATCAGATGATTTCATGCTGTTTGCACATTCCTGGAAGCCAGTATTATACTATTGCATTTTGATTTTACTCTCATACACTGTTAATGAGTTTTAACAGATCCAAGATGTTCCAACAAACACTGATCTCTGCTTCTTTATACCCAATTCCTAAGCATTGCAGATATGTTTGGACACCTGCTTTCATATCTGAATGACCAATTTAAAAATATAGTTGTTACACTTTGTAAAAGATTTCCAAAAATATATATACAAAAATTAATGTAACCAAGAATACAGGATCCTTTTAAAAAACTCAAAATATTGTGTCCACCCATCACGATTAATTCCTTTCTTTTGAAATATCCAATTTTTTGTGAGACTTGTGAAAACAAAGAAAGCTAAAATGCATATTTGCATATAATGGCTTAAAAATAAAGTAACTCAGAGAGGGAAAAGATATTTCTTTATTCAAACAATAAAGCCTGAAGGGAATAAAAAAAATAGGGAAATTATATTTTTATGTTAAAAATTTAAAGCCTCCAAAATTTACTTTTTTCATTATATCATTTATCTTGACTTTAAAAAAGCCTTCGATCTGGCATCCAATGATCACCTCTTAGCAAAACTGGCTAACTGCAGCCTCAGCCTCACCACGATCTGCTGGCTGGGGAATTGGCTCCGTGGTCGGAGGGTGGTGGCTGATGGAAGACAATCGTTATGGTGCACTGTGACCAGTGGGGTCCCTCAAGGCTCTGTTCTTGGGCCTACACTATTCAACATCTTCTTTAATGATGTGGACATTGGTATCAGAAGCGGACTGGCCACGTTTGCCAATGACACCAAACTCTGGGGTAAAGCATCCACACCTGAGGACAGGGGGGTGATCCAGGCTGACCTTGACAGACTCATGAAATGGGCGGACAAGAACCTGATGGTGTTTAACACCAAAAAATGCAAGGCTCTCCACCTTGGGAAGAAAAACCTGCAACATCCTTATAGGCTCGGCAGTGCTATGCTAGCTAGCACTATGGGCGAAAGGGACTTGGGGATCATGATTGACCACAAGATGAACATGAGCCTTCAATGTGATGCTGCAGCTAGTAAAACGATCAAAACACTGGCTTGCATCCATAGATGCTCCTCAAGCAAATCCCAGGATGTCATTCTCCCATTGTACTTGGCCTTGGTGAGGCTGCAGCTGGAGTACTGCATCCAGTTTTGGGCTCCACAATTCAAAAAGGATGTGGAGAAGCTTGAGAGAGTGCAGAGGAGAGCCACATGGATAATCAGAGGTCAGGAAAACAGACCATATGATGAGAGGCTTACAGTTATGGGACTCTCCAGCCTGGAAAAGCGCAGGCTCAGAGGTGATCTGGTGGCCACCTATAAGTTTATCAGGGCACTCACCAGGATCTGGGGGAACGGCTGTTCACCAGAGCACCCCAAGGGATGACAAGGTCGAATGGTCATAAACTCCTCCAAGACCATTTCAGGCTGGACATAAGGAAGTTTATTGTCTGAGCCCCCAAGGTTTGGAATCACCTGCCGCTGGAGGTGGTTCAAGCACCTACTCTGAACGCCTTCAAGAAAAAATTGGATGTTTATCTTGCTGGGATCCTATGATCCCTACTGACTTCCTGCCCCTGGGGCAGGGGGCTGGACTCGTTGATCTTCCAAGGTCCCTTCCAGCCCTAATGTCTATGAAATCTATGAAATTATTTATAGTTCTGTTGTGTGTTTGGAAAGTGAAGAGTGGTAACTCTGTCAACATTCCACCATGACAATGAAACTTCAGCCTTTATAGAGATATAATAGAGAGACCACAAGCTTTCTAGAACTAAAGTTCACATCATCAGATACTGTGAAAGGACACACATACAGAAAGCAGAACATGAAGTGGAATAAGTGATTAGAATATGTTAGGTAGGAAAGCAAGAGGGAGAGAACCAGGGATGTGCGGGGGGGAGGAGGAAAAATGCTGTGAGAGGCATACAAGCAAAGAACCCATAGGCCATAGACAGAAGTTATGTTTCTTACGTGCTCAGCCACCTGAAAGCGCTCTACAGCTGTGCCATGACACACGTGTATGGCCAATCGCACAACAAATTAACCCTCATCAAATGAGGTACCAGATGAAGGCACTTCACTTTAGAGAGCCCTAGGGAACTTGTGTTCCCTAATGTTCATTTGTTGTGTGATCGGGGCTGGGCTGCATCAGCCCAGCCCCAACCCTGGGACTGGCAGCAGGAAGGGAGGGCAGAGGGGAAGCAGGCTGCCAGCTGGAGTTTGCCTAGCCTGAGCTGGAAGCGGGGGTGGATTGGAGTCCCCCAACCCTGTAGCCCCCTCCCCAACAACACCCTCCTGTTCAGGCTGGGCAAACCCCAGCCAGCACCTTGTTCCCCCTCCCCACCGCTTCCTGCTAATAGCCC